AATTATAGGGAAGTATAACGTGTAATTTACTATTTCAAACGTATTTTTTAGATATTTATTTTATCGCTGGTATAGAAACAAGCGTTTAGAGTTAAAAATAGATAAATTGCCAAAATTTCACATGTTTTCTTGTTATTTATTTCTTCAAGCAACATTTCACGTAACATATAAATAAATAAAAAAATAACATTTGCGGTTGGTTAATCACGTTATTTAAATTTTTTTTCTGAATTTAAAATTATATAATACTAAAATAATTCTATAAATTATCATATTTCCGAGTAAATTATTTATGAAAAACAATTTAAAATTAATTTTAACTCTCAATTTCAATTATAATTTAAGGCATTTAAAATATATTTTATAAATTAATTCTGTTAAAAAGTACGTCATTTAGGAAGTTTATCGTCATTACAACAATGGAATTCATATATAAATTATTAATTCTGACAATAAATAAATGAAAAACTGAGAACTAGAAGTGGAGAAGTGATAAAAATTTCAATGCCAATTATCTATCTGTCGTCAGGTTCATAATGCCTAAGCATCTTCCCTTGCCCAAACTTTTCTCCTCCATTCTATTCTGTCTCGACACTCCTCCTCTGTCAGTCTCCTGTGATCCAAAGCTTTTTGTATCTCCTCTATCCACGTAGTCCCCGGTCTTCCTCTCCTCTTTCTGCCCGCAGGGATCCATTCTAATATCTGTTTTGCCGGTCTACCCTCTTCCATTCTCCGAACATGGCCATATCCAGGTAATTGTTTGTTATGAATATAGTCGACTATAAAATTTTGATATTCCAATTTTTTCCTAATGTCCTCATTTCTTACTCTATCTAATTTTGAACATCGAGCAGATCTTCTCAAAAAGTCCATTTCTGTGGATTTTAATTTGGATTTAAATTTTGAATTCAATACTCACACTTCTGCTCCATAAGTTATCACGCTTAGAACTAATGATTTATACATGTTTATTTTTCTTGTTTTAAAGATTTGTTTATCCCATAAGATGCCATTTAATAGTCTTATCATGCATCTTCCTTTCGTAATTCTGTCCCTAATTTCTATTTTCCATCCGACCATCATTAGTAATTTTTGTTCCAAAATATTTAAATTCATCACATCCTTTAATCACCTCAGGTTTTCCATTTTCCTCCAAAACTAAATCACGTATGTCTTCAGTTCCAATTACCGCATAATTAGTTTTCTCCATAATTATATTTAGTCCCCAATTATTGTATTCTTATTTCAGTTTTCTTGTCATATATGTTAAATCATCATAATCATCAGCTATAACTAATTGGTCATCTTCAAATAATAATGTATATACAGTACTATCTCCGACCACTAGGCCCATATCACTACATTTTCTCCTCCATATTTCCATAGCCTTTTGAATATAAATTTTAAATAATGTTGAGAAATACAGCAACCTTGGCATAAATCTTTGGTAACTAGAAATCCTTTAAATAACCTTGATAAGGTTATTTGAAGGATTTCTAGTTACCAAAGGTTATTTGAAGGATTCTGACAATAGAGATAAGCTGTAGCTTTTTAATATGATTTATTATCTTCCTATTTATTGTTATCTAAAACGTGCCAAAAATTTTTATTCGCACGCTATCGTATGCTCTTTCTAAGTCGATAAATAATAAATGTATAGTTTGATTTTTAATTTCTAACTCCTACATACACAATGGAGTCATCCAGATTGCTGCGATGCCATTACCTCAGTATAATGTAGCGAAGGATTTTAAGATTTGAGAACAGAACACGTGAAGAAGTTGGTTACGAAGTATATCAGCTTATTCATTAACAAATATAGTTACATAAGGAAATATTGATAAAAACAAAAGAAATTGTTAACTTTTCTTATATCGATTTTTCGAATAAACAAAAATTACAGAACTCGTGTTCAAATATGCAAATGTCAGACCTTTCTCTATGTTCATAATGCTGTTCTTTTCCAAATAAGTTACGTGTGTTTGGGGATGTGTAGATGTCTATTTCATTTAATATCTCAGGATGGGCTAAAGATTAAAAAATGAAATTTGGCACGAAAGCTTATAAGGGCATCGACGCTATTAAATTTTGGAGTATGGAACTCAAAGGGGTGGACATGCGTCAAATCTCAAATGGGATCGGACTTAATGAAAATTTTACTCGTTATTGACATGTACAATATTATTAAAAACTCATTCCTACCCTCGAAATTAAACTTTTTGCCATTTTATAATGGCCCCACACACAATTTTAACTTTCAGCTGGTTTCATATTGTTTTTTTAAATTTAAAAGTTTTATTTAAATGAAGATTTTTATCATAATTGAACAAAATTGTCCATTTTAAGCTTTCATTACCTAAATTTTATATTCTAGTATAATTGAAAATTATCGGACTCTCTTAATCTCCTGTTTGAATGCTAGGAAATTCCAGCAAGACACCTTGCCAGCTTTTTTTTTTTCGTAGTTATGACAAATAGTCAGAGATGCCGAATACTTAGAATACTTAGCTATCTTTATGGCTATCTATGCAGATACTTTTTGTATATGTCTTATACAAGAGATGAAAGTGTTAAAGATTCTATGGATGAGGATCGACTCCACTCTGAATTTGCGTATTTGTGGTGTGAGAAGAAAAATTTGAAATCGAAATTTTGTGTTGTGAAATTTCTTTTCATTTTATTCTTTATTCGATGTTTATAGCCGATGACAATGGCAAACAAATTAAGAGTTTTAATTACCTGAAATCGCGTTTTCTTTTATGAATATGAAAATTGAAATTGCAACATACATTTTAAAATGAAAAATTAAACATAAATTCAAGTTATATTAAGGAAAACTACTCAATGCTTGTTTATAATGTTAAAGTTTCCTCTTTACTTATATTTATTTTTTAAAATTTATTACTCGTGTTATTTTTTGTATTGTTATTATTATTATTTACCTTAATATTGCATTTCTATTTATAAGGAGTGAATTTTAGGGTACACCTTATAATTATGTTATAGAGGTATCTACCTCTACAATATAAATAAATTAATACTCATTAAACTAGTACATTAAACAATAATTATAATTTTAAGATTTTCTGAATATGTGAATAATTAAATATATCCCTTAAAATTCTAGTAATAGTTAGTATATGAAGTCATATAAGAATAATTATTTAAATTAACACGAGTGTAGAATAAAATATGAATATTGTATTGTTTATAAATGTATATTTATGTTTATTTTTATGAAATAATTTGTTTTATCATACGTTACACACTGAAATCATCAAGTGATGCTTATATATTGATGAAGATCGTACTGTAAGTAATGGTATATGAGTTATGTTGCTTAAAATATTGATAATTTTTAATTTTATTAATTTATAGTTTCTTCTACAGTAACAACTGCAGAAAAAATAGGTGATAAATGCAATTGAAATGTTATTTTTTAGCAATTTAAAGCATGTAAGTACTGTACTGTACATCTAGAGTTTTGTTTTAATTTATTCAAAAATTAAGCATTATATTTAACGAAGTACGTGTTAAGAGACAGAGAAAGTTTAAAAATAATATTCATCGAAAGGAATGGAGATTTAAATAATAAATAAAGGTTTTTGGCCAAATTGAAACAATTTAAGTTAAGAAAGCCACTTTACATCTTCAGAATATGTTTTGCAACACGTGTTTAGAGATGCTTGGTGATGGAAGTTGATACATCTTTTCCAGTATTTTTAAATAAAAAATATAACAAACTAAAAATTAATAAAATAGTTTTAATGAATAAAAGACTAAATTATGATCTTCGTTTATATACATATAAAACATAAATCAAGAGATATTTGGGAATTGGACGTAGCACTTTTCCTGATAATTTTTCTAATTTCTTTCCTGATACTCAAAAATCCTAATATTAATAATGTTTCCTGAACTCAAGAAAAACTTATTATAAATTATTTTGACCTCCTTAATTCGCTATACAAAGATAAGTAAAATATAAACATTAAGACATTTCACAATAATCTGTATATGTTTATATTCGTTGCTAATTTTATAACTTCCATAAGCGTAATATATAGTTAATAGTAAATTGCATGCTTCTAGCCCTTCTATTTACCATTATTAATTATTACGTACAATTATCCTTTTAGGACTATAACATCTTTTGGGGCTTATCATACGTGGTTCAGATATACAATATGAGGTTTAACATAAAATAATAATAATAAATTACCATTTTTTAGATATAATAATAAATCGATATAAAAATAGAATTGAAATAAAGAAATATACAAAACAATGTTTAGTCCCAAAGGAAATTAATTATTTTTCACAAGTATCCAGATACATCAAAAAGAATACATCTGTAATGTATCTTACATAGCCTAAATAAAATAATGAATAGAAAAACCAACGAAGAAAATAAATACAAGCAAAAGATGAAGTAATATATAATTACTTACTAGTAATTACCCAAAGCATATTTTAAATAGCTGGTTACAAGAAATTACAAACAATAAGAATATTCATTGTGGATTCTATTTACTAAGTACTATTTGTAAAAATCTTAAGCATATTTTTACTCGTGAATAATTTATTATTATAAATTAAACACAATCAGGCCATATTTGCTACCTATGTAATGTTATTTTTCCTCCTCATTTTTCTTCTTATTTCTTTTGTTATTGGCATAACCAAAAGCTACACAATTATATTCGTGGAGAAGGTAAACACAAAAAATTTTAAATATTCTGATTTAAGCCATTCAAAATAAGCCTTAACTAAATCGAAGAACTCCCAATTACACTGTGAAGGACTTTCGGGATTATGGCGGCGACCGGCTTCAACACGATTTTTGCAGACAGCACAGAACCTTGTTACTGGTTCTGTGCTTGCTGGACGCATTTAACTAGTGCGTCACCTACTTTTTCGTGTCAAAATTCACCGAATTAAGTAACACGTGGAGTTGTAACATTGAAATTTTCTGTTTTTGGGTCTCTAAAATAAAAGAACGTAATATGTTCTTCGCTTTAGCAGAGATTATCGGCACTCTACTAAAATCAGATTAAACATTTACATGAGCAATCTTTACCAATATATTCTACTCCCAAGTTTCCTTAAAAACCCTACTTGATAAAGATATAGACACTAAAAAGCTTTTGTTTTTCCCTACCTTCTATCATTTACTCACTAGAAAAATTCGTATATTACTAGTTGTTAAGGTTGCTAACTTTATTGTGCAAAAAAAAAGAAGGGGAGGACAATACGTCTCTATATACGATCCTGCTACTTGTATGCAGTGGCACATTTAGAAATATGGTACCTCTAAGCCCACAATATGAAGGTACTCTAACTACTTTCACATCAAAAGATTCTGTTTTCTAATTACAGTTTTATAAAGATCGAAATTGGGAACATTTCCATTTCTAATTACTTTAAACTGTAAAATAGATGCAAGAGCGCTAATTTACAATAAATAAGCTTTAAAATGACGTATAAAATGTAAATGTAATTCATACTTCAAGTACCTTAACGTAGGCCTTGCCGTGTACGAATTAAACAAACTAAAGTAATCTACAATTTTAGGTTGCCATGGTCAAGTCAGGATCTGTTACCTAAAATTGTAGTGATTTAATATTTGAGATGTTCGTTTCTTTTATTTTTCTTTTTTTTATAAATTGACTTATCTGCTGTATTTAATTTCTAATGAATATGTGTAAATAAATTATATTTCATTTCTCTATTTCTTTTCCCTGCCGAATTTTGGCCACTTGTTGTCAAACGTTGCCCCAAGTACTCTGCGTCACAGGAAAATAATGGGAACTGCACAGTTGTCTAGTTTTTTTTTTCTTTTGGGAGAAAATAGGTTTTTTTAATGTCTTCCTAAACATATTCTGTGTATGTATATAAACTGTATAAATTGTACATATATATATAGTTTATACAGTTTATATAGCAATGGAGCAGCCCTAGGAATTGTGAGAGGCCGTAGACAAAATTTATTTTGAGTCCCATTAACAGAGTGATGGAGATACAGGGTAGATTCTTTTAGATGTACAATAATATGAATAGTTTTAATGTTGAAACAGACAGTAAAACACAATAAAAATGTGTACAATAACTTTTACTGTACGTGTGGCTGCCTCTGTATAGAGTAGTATGCAGAATCGACTATCTCCCTAAGTATATATCTGTGAATAATCTCATTTATGTAATTTCTCT